GGAAAAAAACTAAATAACTCCAAACAATTTAAAACTTAACTAGTTCTTCTTTGGTTTTATCGACTCGTGCTAAATCTCAATTTTAAGGAGCCACTGAATTGTGTTTTTATTGGAAATCATGGGGATATAAAAGTAATTGAGATTCAGAAAAATGAAACTGCTAATCTCTGATAGACTGATGTGAAGATTTCAGGAACCCGAAGTTTCGAAACTCCATTTACGAAATATGAACAAAAATATTTCATCGCTTATCAAGGAAGGCCTAAATATAAAGCAAGTTCATAAAAAATAAGGCAAAGTGCAAGATCTTGCTCTTTTAGAGTATTTAGGGAACATTGTTTGATTACTTGAATTCACTGTACAGTTGTGATTATCTTGCAGTCTCTTGGACAAGAAAGATACCGTCAGGGAAGAAAGTAGAGAGTTGGCCATTTATGTGGAGACAGAGATTAAGGTTGTCGAACGCGAGTTGCTTTCATTGCACAAGGTGATGGTTAAATTGGAATTAGAGATGAAAGAAGCAATAGACACTGAAGGTTAGTTTTCTCTTTTTTTTTTCTTTGCGTGAGTCAATATATGAAAACGTGTAGAACGCCAGGATATCATAATTTATAGTTTAAAAACCAATCAAAGCGGCAAATTAAGATACGCTGCAGCTGATTTGGCTCAACAAGCTTTATAAAATCAATTTTCTGAGATTCAGAATGGCTCACCTCGATGTTCTCGTGAAGCCTTTTGAATAAAAGCGATTTTGCATTGGAAAAAATGGCTTATTTTCGGAAAACCAGCCGATTTTTGATTTGTCAGTCATTTTCGTGAGCCATTCTCCTGAATCCCTAGCTTCGTTTCTTTCCAACTGTTTACCTTCGTCAAATAGCAGCCGAACTATCCTCCTTGTTGACAGGAATCTTTCGGGATTCAAAGTGCTTAGTTTCCCTCACGCAACGCTAAAGAAAAGCAATTTCTCTCCTGGGAAGAGGTGAAGTCTGGAAACAATTATCTGGGTATACCGTCGCGCCAAATAGAGGGTGATGCATGCGTTATAAATAAACACAAATGAAATGCAGCCTTCTTTAATTTACCCCTTTTAGATTGTGAGGTCGAGTTTGAAAGCTTATCACTTGACTGGTTAGCGCTAAATAAGTTCCGTTCTGAACTTGACCAAAGGAAACAAGACCTTCTTACTCTGTAAGTAAGTACATCTTATCCCTATAAAGCTGTTTTAAACCTTGCTCGATAGTTGGGAACAAGTCAATATGCCTAATTATGAGATGGTAATACATATTCAATAACCAAAGCGTATAATTTAAATTAAGCATATATAAGCACTCCTTTTTTCAATAATTAAGCGTTTTGATTCTTTACATTGTAAGTTCTATGTGAAAGTTTATCATATTAAAGCCCTATCTTTCGTCTCTGTTGTATTTAGTTCCAGACAAGAAAACGGGAAGGAGTGTCTGAAATTCTTACGTCAGGACCTTAAATGCTTGTTCGAAGTCAAAGGTGAGAATCAATGTCTAAGTTATTTCCTCAATGTGATAGTGCTAAATTTTCTTTTGTATGATGTTAAACAAGTGGTTTGTTACCCATGCATAGGTCTTTTATGCAATAGTTTATTTGTATGCCATCATATGGTGAGTGATGTTTTCTTTCGTTTTCTGCGGAAGGTTGGAAGAAAACCAAAGAATACAAAGATCGGGAAAAGAATGTCCTGGATCTTATCCTCAAATTGACCAACATGGCTTGAATAATAAACGGCATTAAAAGTAAGAAACTTGCATTTTAATTGAATTTAAATGCCTTTGGTTCTCTCTCTCGTTATCTTACTATGTATTTTATAATGAGTTGGCTATGGATTGTTTTGATTATTTTTATTTAAGAGACTTCATCCTGAATAACAATGGCTAATTATGCCTTTTTCTTTGCTTTCCTTTTTTAGTTTCGATTTCACAACTGTTTGCTTCTTTCTGGTCTGAATTGTAAGGTACTGATGTTTGTATGTGGCTAAGAACAAGAGATTATAATATCTTGCTAAAATCCTTTGTAAATCCATAAATTCTGCTCTCAATTTAAGTTAGCACATTCATTTTTCAATGTAAAATTATTTCTCTTTTTCAGATATTTTCCTTAAACCTTGAGAATTTTTTTATTTGTCAAACAATTTTCCATGTACATAACTTACTATGAATTCAAATGTTTTCATTGTTTTAAATATTTTGTTTTTTCTTCATAAAGTTTTTTGGTATCTTTTCCCGTCCCTTTTTATTTGCTCAAAAAATTATTTTCCATAGGGAGATCCTCGCAGCTAAGAACACTATTTACAACTACTACTGTTTTTCAAATCCTAGTTTCATCTTTCCACCGCAGTGCAAATATGTTAATTTTCATCTATCTAAAATCTTCATTCACTTGGATGTTTATTTGGACCCAATTCATTGACCAGCTCCCAGTTGGCTTGTTAGCTCAATTGGTAGAGCGCTGCACCGGTATCGCAGAAATTTTTTTCAGGTCCTATTTACAACTACTCGTTTCAGTAGTGTTCTTAGCTGCGAGGATCTCCTAATTTCATCTTTCCACCGCAGTGCAAATATGTGAATTTTCATATATCTAAAATCTTTATTTTATGAGTATTCAGATATGTCTTTTGTAAATGTAGTATCTTAAGTTCAGGGTCACGAACAAAAAAGCGGATCTGACAAGGTTTCTTTTCATTACGACCCTTTTATCTTTTACTTCGATTACGTTTTATTTCTAAGGTGAAGGTAGTTAGATCTGTGGTGAAGTTATAGTTTACGGTTTCCAATTCAATGGCTTTGTTTTTTCCAATCAGATGTGCTGATATAAAATTGTTTGTAATGAAAGTGACGTAAGCGGTCACAAAATCACAAGTCGTAAACGAATACTTCTCCTTTGACATTGTACACTTTTTTCCGTCTGCTCTTGTTTTTTCTCGCTTTTTTGGCTGATTTTAAGTAGGTTGGTAGTTTATTCTTAGGTATTTTTATTATTTGTAGCTAGGCGGTCAATATTTAAAATTATAACTAAGGTTTTTTTAGGTATTCTTCAATTACCCTGGAACTCGTGTAAGAGACATAGTAGTGGCTTACATCAACTGGGTGTAAATTTGTCTTTTGGGTGTAACTTTAATTTTGACATTTAACTATTTTATTATTTTATTACTATTTTAACTTCCATAAATCGCTGTGATTTCTGATCGCCAATTTCTTCGTTTGTTAGAAGCAACAAGTTTTTCCGCAGAGCTTTCAAATACCAATTTCAATTTGGTATTCATTCCTAATTGCGGCGTGGCTACGAGCTCACTGGTAAGAGTTGTTTGTAAGGGCGTCCTAGTATCACCAGAGTAAAATAAAATTACTATCGTATTTATACGTTTTCATTTAATGCCTCTATTCTTAAAATACCATTTAACTACTATTTTCACAATCGAGCACTCGAAGCCCAGCGAACTTAAAACAGTTCATTTCAAAAGACCACGCCCTATTATGATTTCTAATTAACAAATGTTTCTTCGCCAGCATGTATGTGCAAATATTTTAAGAGCCAGTAGAGTTAACTCTAAAGCGTCCTTATACTGAATTTTACCTTCGCTTATTTGGTGTACGAGACACAGTTGCCGTGAAACAACTTTAATATTTAAAGAGGAAACACTGAAGCAGTAAATTCTACCTTGTTTGTAAGAGCCCATGTATGGGCTCCTGTTGTTGCTCATGATCAGGTCCCTAAAAAAATCTTTAAAATCGTGAATTTCCCCTCCAACAACTTGCTGAAGTCTAATTTGAAAACAAACAGATTTAAAAGATTTTTTGCTTAATATCTGTTTTCTAATCTGCTGCTTATAATGTGGAAAATTCATCAGGCAAAGCAAAACGATGCCATTCGGGCCGCCTTGTTGTGTGATGAAACTGCGCTGCTACGTCATCGACCATTTAACGCATGCACTATTGCGAAGAATTCATCCCGGTAACCGGGATGAAGTGTTCATATGGCAAAATTTTCCAGCCCGCTTACCGACCCAGGCCGCTCTCTCATGTGAACACATCGAAAATTTTACAAAGGATTTAGAGGCAAGGGGAGATCACGAAAACCCGGCCAGCCCGGTCAACCGGGCTCATATGAAAAGGCCCTCAAATCAAAGTTTCCGTGTGACTCTCGCCTTGTGCGGCGAGCTCAAAGCTACGATTGGTCAGTTCCTTGCCTTAGTTTTCAACAAAGTTAGTTTGGCCGGCGCAGAAATGGAGTCATTCACGATAGCTGTGAACTTTGTTTTTCTAATTTCCTTTATATGTGGCTAGATTTTCTCACATTTGACGTTCTAATTGTGTTAACTTCTTAACAGCAGACAAGCATACGATATCACAAGTTCTTGTCCAGTGCAGTGACAATAGATTTCACCCCAGTCCTCCGCGAGCGTAAGTCAATTGTCAACTTGAAACCCTGATGAAGTATTCTCAAAACACAAACTCACCTCTCGTTGTTTAGTTTGTTTTTGTCTTTAAATTTCTCTTTTTAGGGCGGTCTAAGGTAGGTAGGGGAAAAAGTTTTAATTATTGTGGCTAGGATTGTAGTTTGTTTAGTATTGTAATCACACCTTACATCTCTCCGTACACTGTAAGAATTTGGTTTGTTCAAACAAGAGGGTCAGATCGGAGAGAGAGGGGCAAGGGGGAGGGGGTACTAATGCACACCCATTTTCAGCAAATATGTCACCCTTGTATCAGCTGACTGTTAGCACGAGTGAGGAAATGTAAAGACGCAAGCATTTTTTTTGTTTCCTAGATGCAACTGTTTTCCTCATTTAGTTACTTCTATTTCAACTGTTAAGGAGAAATTCACATTATTGCAAACTGGCCTCAATTAACACAGTGCACTGAGCGCGCGCAACATGAATTGGAAGCATTCATTTTCATGGTAACATGACATCACAATGAACGAAACAGAAATCCTTGAAGTTCATCTGAGAGATTTTGTGAGAAGCAGCAATGGCTTGTGTTCTCATACCGTTCCCTCGGGAAAAAGCAAGAACTGATAACTTTTTGATCACAGCATCTGTTTCGCTACTGGATGTTGAATTACGCAAGAAAAGGTGGTAAGGGACACGATAAAGTATTTTCTTTTTCTCTTTTCTGTTAAAAGTTTAGTCTTCGAAGCTGCTTGTCTCACTAGGGTCAGATTAGAAAGTAATCAATAGTGAAACTCTGACGAAGCATACAATTTCGAAAACAATATTATTTTCACTATGATTTTCACCATGATTCGCTATTCATGGTTGAATACCAAGTCAGACTAAAGCAACAGAAACAAAGGGTCATTCCCCAAACTGAATATTGTTTGCCCTTTGAAATTGCAAGACTCGGTGGAAAAAACAATTACTAAGCTAATTCGTAGTAACAAATTTTCACGGCAGTGCTGCGAGAGAAGGTTTTTGATTACGGTCAATAGTTCACAGCGAGGGGGAGGGAGGGGTCAATTATTGAGGAAAAACATGGCGGTGGCCTTGAACATGCAATGTGCTTCTTTGCCTCCTGTCGTATTCCAAAATAACAAAAGATGTAAGTGCATATCGGCCCTTGAATAATAAAACGTCAATCGCTTCTACAAGGAAAGAATCCGCACTGAATAGAAGTATGGTTGACCATGGAAACTTTTTCATGTTATGCTGATTTTCATGTTTTGTTCCTCAATTAGGTATCCCCACAAGCTTGCAGTTTTTTGGAAAAAAAGAAAAGCGAAATACAGTACAAAGGTAGTCAATGTAGACTTTGGATTGCTGTTCTTTCCCTCTTAATTAGCTCATTAAACGTTATTGATTTCTTACTTGTCAGTATGAGTTAAAGAAATATTTATCCCGATTCGTTTCGCCCTCAGCCGGTAGCATGGTTTGGAGGTATTAAAAATGGAAATCGTGGTGTTCATGTTTGGCCTGAGCCTGATCCAGTAGACAGCAAACTTACTCTCCTCAAGGTAAGTTTTAAACAAAGGCAAAATGAGGTGCTGATTTGTGGACAGATTTCCGTAAAGTGCCACAGCATTTGGAAACAAAATTGTGGTCCAAAAGACTTGCTTTCGTCATTGTTTTCTTTATCCAAGATCTTTATGCATAATGAACTATGGGGAAGTGCTGAAATCTTGGCCAACGTTTTTGAAACCATAGTTTTTGTAAACACGTTACACCCTCTTACTGAAGTCTTCCATCTTTTGTTGTGGAGAGTTTCGAAGCCCCAAGGTTTCATCGCTTTACCTTTTGCATTGGATTCACTATGTAATATCATATTAAGTTTTAACGCTAAATCTATAGTAATTTTCATCGTAAAAGTTAAAAACAGAACAGCTGAAAAGAAAAAAAAATGCAATGATCCTGTTTCTATTTAACGTTTTGCTGCCAAATACCATCATATGAACTTTATCTCACAACAAGGCTCTTTGGAGGCTAGAAATTACTGCCATGATAGGAAAAATGAAAAAGGACCTTAAGCATTCAGGATAGTGACGTCAAGGAAGACATTGATTAAAAGAGTGAATTTAAACCTTTTTAGTTGGAATTTCCTGAATGCCTGCATGAATGTGTTTGCTTTCTCTAATTGTGCCACATGACTCAGCCTTTGTATAATGTATGTGAGCAGCATAATGAGTTCCATATTGACACTGAAATAATTTTCTGTCAATGTTATCATACATAGACCACGCCAAATTTGATTATTTCATGTTGAGTTTTAGCCAAGGACAGTTTCAAAATGAACAAAGTTCTAATTTCTTAGCTATTGCTCTGCTTATTCATTCTGATCATTCATTTTACCACATCTTTGTTTCTGCTACTCTAATGGTTTGCTCAAGGTCCCTGATATTGTTGTTATCAAGTTTGTTTGTTTATTTGAAAACAATATTTATTTGTATTTGTAGAACCAAGAGGAGGAAATGACAGAATATCAAGAAAAGCAGTGGAATATTTTCATCTGTAATGTAAGCTTTTCCCTTTTCTATTCTAATGGCATGCAGTTGCTCTTTGCCTTTGATATTATATTCACTCCACACAGTGTGGAGTGAGTCTGAAAACTGTTCATCTTTCTCTTGCTTCTTTGAAATCATTAGGTGTCCCACAGTGTTCGCCACCAGCTTCTGGCCACTGGCTGTATTGATATCAGCAATTACATTAAAGAGAGGCCTGGAAAATTGGATGTTACAGTCACCCTTAAGCCAGCAATCAAGAAAGTTGTCTCTGGTAAAATTGAATTTGAATTATCATGGGTTATGCAGGAAAATGACCAAGTCATTCAGTGAGTATTCTTCATTAATTTTCATAGCTTGTTACTGTAATGATCATCCAGCTTATAAGTGGAATTTAAAAGTCAATTACTATTTCATAATGTTATATTTTAGATCAATGAACTTGATCAATAAATTTTTAAAATGATATATTGTCATTTTTGCTGCATGAACAAAAGGGTTGACTAAAATCTGAAGTTTATTTTGTCAATGGTTTAAATTCATGTAATTATTCTTTGTTTTGTCCAAAGGTAATTGTATTGTGAAATTCCATCAACCCTTTTGCTGTTGAATATGCTTGATATTTGTATTACCTTTACAGTCCCACAGATGAAGAGATATGGGAAGAGATAATGCAGGAGGTCAGGGAGGAACAAGCAAGAAGAAAAGCTGAGGGAAAGACAGCCAAGTATAAATCTTTGAAAAAAAGAAGGAGCAGGAAACGTGGCTGCTCAAGTGGTACAGACATTACTGCTGAGGAAGACAAAAAGAAAGATAAAAACACTGAATTTGGTGGCTCAAGTGGTACAGACATTGCTCCTGGGGAAGACAAAAAGAGAGCTGAAAACAATGAATTTGGTGGCTCAAGTGGTACAGACATTGCTCCTGGGGAAGATAAAAAGAAAGATAAAAACAATGAATTTGGCTGCTCAAGTGGTACAGACATTGCTCCTGGGGAAGACAAAAAGAAAGATAAAAACAATGAATTTGGCTGCTCAAGTGGTACAGACATTGCTGCTGAGGAAGATAAAAAAAGTAATGAACAACAAGGTGGCATCTTTCCAAGTAACAGACCTCAGATGGATCCCTCATCTGGCAGCAATACCAAAGTGAGGCCAGGAAAGTTTAGAAGGCAAGCATCACCTCATCATGCTCCTCATAACTCTGTTCTGCCCAAAACATACCCTTCTGTTAGCCAGGTGCTGCCATCAGACAGTGAAGAGAAAAAAGAGGTGCTGAGTAAAAGGAAGCTTCGTAAAACTGTCAGATTTCAAATTGATGGACAGCCTGAGGTATTACATCCTGGTGTAGATGATGAAGAAGCACTGGACACCTTGTCTGTGTTGAGAGATGAAAATTCATGTAAGTTATGTTTTGTTTTTGCCTCCCATGCTAAAGGAACAGGGGCTCAAATTTGTTTGTTTTTTTTTTTCCTGTTGGATCTGGTTTGTTTTCAACAAACAGTTTAATTGTAAGACTCCTTGGAACCCTGACTCATAAGCACTGAATAAAAATCATAACATTACATTGTTTTATTCTGAAATACAACTATTTTTGTTAATTCTTGATATTAACTTTTTTGTTCAGTCTCAAGTGGAAGCCAGCTTCACTCAGAGTTGGCCAGTTATGTTGAAGAGGAACTAAAGTTTGTTGAAGATGAATTATTTTCTTCCAAAGAAGTCTGTTCAAAAGTTAAACTTGAAATGCAGAAAGCCATGTCATCAGGTTTGTGATCTATTTAGAACTGAGCCAGTCCTTGTTTGTTTGATAAAGTGAAGTGCCTTAGAATTTTAAATAAGACAATTAATATGTTGCATTCACATGTTGAGTCAAGTTTCAGAGCTTGCATTCCTTCATCAAAAAATAATGTAGAGTTCTTTCCCCCACTTATGAGCTATAATTCTTTTGCTCCAGAATCTTATTGGTAATTCCCCTTACTGTCTGCACTGAGTACAATTCTTATGATGTCAGATAATTATTATTTATTATTATTTAACAATTTGCCTATAAGGCAGGTAAATTTAAATTACTTTTCCCTATCCCCTGCAAATAGACAAAATTGAAACCCAACCCACTTACAACCCCCCATGCCAAGAAATAGCAAAATACATAATCATTAACAAAAGAAAAGAAAAAGGTAGTTGACTAACATGTATATAAGCATTAGGAGTATTGAAACAGCAACATTCTACACAAACTAATTTTAAAAAATGGATGTTGTCTTGATTGAAAACTTTGCTAAGTCTTAGATAAAAGAAATATTTTAGTTTTTTGACCAAAGAAGGTAGTTCCTTTTTAGCACTTATATTACCTGGTAAGGTGTTCCATATGTTACAGATTCTTACAAAAAAGGAATCTCCATAGAGTGAGGTTTTAGCTTTCATATTTTTGAGAAAAAGACCAGAGGCGCTATGGTGTGAGTGATCTGTTTTCTTGATATTCTTAGATTTAAGCATTTTGGTGGTTGGAGATAAATTTCATTAGTAAGAGACTTGTTGGTTAGACCATCAAGGTCTCCTTGGATGGCAGTAAAATCACTGCAGTTGACATTTTGGAATACTTTGAGTGATTCGGAGTCATCTGCAAACATTGCCAATGTGCAGTGACTTCTAGCATTTGGGAAGTCATTAATATACAGAAAGATCAAGATGGGTCCCAGTATGGATCCTTGAGGGACACTAGACTTTAACAGGTTCCAATTTGAGAAATATCCTTTGATGACCACTCGTTGCCTTTGATGGCTGACTGAGGTAGTTTTCAAACCAAGTGAGAAGAGGACCATGTAGTCACCAAACCAACTTAGTTTCTGGATCAGTTTGTTGAGGCAGACAGAGTCAAATGCCTTTGCAAAGTCTTACAGAATCAGGTAAGTCTCTAGACCAGCATCCAGATGGTTACCAATTTCATTGTACACTAAGAGGAAGTGACTTACACAAGATTTACCTTTCAAGAAGCCAGGCTGGAGGTCGTACAGTTGGCATTTGATAAAATCAGTCAATGTAGAAGCAAGATCAGAGAATTTGGTATTGGATCAGCTGATAATCTCCTGCCTATATTGTTTTGATATTGTAAGGAGGAACTATGTCTTGGTCACTAACAGGAGAATCCTAAGACAGAATTTCTCCTTACTCTATCTGTACAATATCCTGCAGACAAGTGATGAGAATATAGGAAAATATCAATTATGGGATGAATAATTGATCTGATACCAGATTCTTCAAACTACTATAATGAGAATCATTTGGCAGACAGTAAGGAAAATTACTAATGAAATCTTGGGAGTTAAAGAACAGGTAATCCCTTAACTAGAAACACTGCAAGTTGTCACACTTATTTCAGGTGTTATAAGCCATGTTTAATTTACACAGCTTCTCCAATGTATATGTCTACTTTTTGTCTGTAGACCACCAAGAAAAGTTTGAGAGCTTAAATCAAAGCTGGCTTATATTGGATAGATTCCATTCCAAAGCAATGAAAAGAAAAGATCTTCTTGCCCTGTAAGTAATAAAGACTTATTTTAGAAATGAGATAAACATGTGCATTATGACCTAAAATGTGGTGTTACATTGAAATCTACAATCCAAAAACTCTGCACAGGTACTTATATATGTTTACCTACTGTCTTTGATGTGGACAATTAATCTACCTATTATATATTGCTTAATACTTTTTCATCATTGATGGCTTGGAAGGAAAAAATTGTTTGATTTAATCATCAAGCAGTTCCAATATTTTTCCTAATTTTGTCTTTAGGTTTTTTCAGACTTTTGTGGTTCTGTTAAACTAAAGGTTGTATTTAGCTTGAAGTAGATTTGCTTGATTTTCTGTTTTCCTTTCATCAATATAGTGACAAAGGAAAAAACATCGGAAATTGTCTTAACTTACTGTGTTCAGATTTGAGAGGCCTCTCAGAAGTGAAAGGTAACTATTTAGTTGTTTCTCCTCATTTTTTCTCAGTTTAGTGTTATTTTAGACTGGTTTAGTGAGCTCTGATTCTTAACCCTTTACACCCCAACATAATTCTGTGTGTGTATATATATATATTGCAAACTGTTCTCGTTACATTTCCTAAGGTGCTGACAGGTGAATTTGTTTAACAACCTTGATTTTCTTTAGATAGTGATTATTTCCTTTATCCTTGTGATATTTTAAGGAGACACTACATGCTATTCACTCTTTAGGGTCAAAGGCATAAGCTAATTTGTAGATGAAGGAAACAAGATTTTTTATTTTGATTTTAGGGTGGTGGAAAACAGATCAAAACATAGCTCAAGAAAAAAGAGTGGCTGAGCTCATTGATGCAATTTGCCATTCTTTAAATAATGGTGAGAAACAATAATCTTTACTAAGTTGAAATACAAGTTATTAATTGAGTCTAACAGTTCCTATGATGACAATCAATATTGTATCTTAATTAGCTGAAATTCAAGGCATATACAGCTAATTTAATTTTTAATTTTTTTTATTTACTATACAATTTAGCAATAAAACATACTGTCTATAATTCTGTTATATGAAGTGGTGCAGATGTTCTTCTGTTGATTTATTTTCCTTTTTTGCATTTCAGAATGAATGAAAATTCATCTACTATTTTTTAATATTGGTTATTTGTTTTTTGGATTCTTGTTAAAAAAATTTTGGCAAGAATTGCCCAAAAACCTTTTGCTGCCCTTTCTTCAAACAAATTGTTCTGTAATAAGTTCATTTATAACAGTATCTTAAGTATAATTTTTGTGAAAATGATGTATGATATTGAGTGGTCTTCATTCTGAAAGAAAAATTCTTTGATGAGACATTTTCTCTTCTATTGTAAATAATCCTTTGTAAATAGTCCAAAATATGTTTTGTAAACAGGTCATCATACATTCTTGTTGCAATATTTTAATGGGATTTCAATTTTAAGAATTAATTTCTTCCTGCAGTTTTTATAAAGCCACTGTTGAAATAACAGCACATTCCAAATCCTTTTCCATAATTTGAAATGATGTACTTCAAATAGCTTTGATAACACAAACCTCCTGACTTAATTGTAAACAATATTTTGTAACTTAAGTTCTTAATATGTTTGGTGAAAGGTTTATCATCTGTACAATCTTTTGATACATACGATTTCAAAAACACTCTTTTCCTGCAATATCCATGAAGCTACTGTTAAAGTAGCACATTCCAAAATCGTATTTTAAAAGATCTACTTCCAATAGAGAGTGTTAACAGTCATTCTAAGTGGTTACATGTGCACATGTCATTTTTATTAATCGGTGAATCAATATCAGTGCTGATGTGAGGGATCACATAGTAATAGAGACTGAGAGACAATCAGTGTGACGTCAATATATATTTAGATCTTAACCTTACAGAAATAATTACGTAATTGGTTCAACTTGAATCAGACCTGTGACATGTCAGTCCTTCTTAATAATTTAAGCTTGAAATTCTTTCTTGGTGCGGTTGAAGTCTTTTTTGTCAATCACACATGAAGTATTTTCTTTGTTGCTCAACATTTTATATGTAAGACTCTTGTACCGACATTGGTATTGAGATCATTATGCAGTGGCTCCAAGCGAAAAAAAAAACAGTTTAAACTTTATGCCCCTAAATTCCTGTTGTTATTGGATAGTTTCCTGTATTCGTAATACTCTTGTATCAACATTACTACTGAGATCTGAGGCTTCAAAGTATGAAAAAAACCTTTAATTATTAGTTGGCTTTTTATAATATTATTTTTTAATGTTCTTTTATAAATGTTGGTTTTGAGATAATTATGCAGTGGCTTCATAGTATGAAAAGAAACGAACCTGTAAGTTAAGAAGTAATAAAATTTGTAAAGTATGTGATGATCATTGTTGTGTTCATGAGGCCATTTCGTTTAAGTGTCGAAATTGAAGTGATCCTTAATTGCGACAGTTTTACCTTACCACCCTCTGTGATTAGGCCAGAAAACTTGCCCCAAATGCAACGCTAAGACTAGTCGCTGCTCACTTTTTCCTCGCGCTTTAGGAAGTTTGCTTAGCTTCACTAATAGCTCTGATTGGCTCCTTGACTGACCCTCGTGATCAAATTGGTTTTTCTCTTACAATATACATATATATTATTTGCCTGCTTGGAGGTCCGTATGGTGAAAAACTGTGACCGAGGTCTTGAAAATGCATTTTGAAGACTGAGGTCACAGTTTTTCACCATACGGACCGACCCTTAGCCGGTAAAGAACATATATATATATTTTTTTAAACTTAACGCAGTTCTTCCGAAAGAACCCGAATGATTAAGGGCTGTAAATACGGCAAGATCTTCTACAAACTGAACAATTTTTGAACGAGTAAATGGTAGTTAAAATAGGGGTGATGCAAATTAAAGAGAAATGCTTTACCGAAACATTTTAATTTGCGTAATGATAAAGGTGATTTAAAAGGCTTCCGAACAAACTTTGTAACATTATTTTTACAAGTATCTGTCACGATCTGACACCTGTCAATTAGAGAGCGCGTAAAAGAAAAAAAAAGCATATGTTCCCTATTGAAAAACAACGGAACTAGTTTGGAGGACTGTAACGACAATGTTTTCTTCAAAAACAGTCAATGATCGGACGGAAAGTATTATTCACTGTCATCGATAATTATCCATGTACGAAGATTTACCTCATTTCATTGTAAGTAAATTCAATTTTTTTATTTTGAAGTTGTGTTTGCTCGTTTGTTTGCTGCAATGGCGTGTGTAAATCTGGTCTTTCTTCCACAAAAACTAAATTCGAATGATACACTCCAACGAGACACAAGGGGATTTAATGCAGCCTTTTCTCATGGAATTCCTTCAGTTTCTGTTGTGCAATTTACGATGCAAATGTCCAAATTGAAGGGGCTTGGAAAGACTTACCGCTCGCCCTTTCAATACGAACAAATTGTTTGAGAAAATTCAGATATTGAATGAATGAAAGTTCCATCGATTAGTTCAACTGTAACCAAATACCTCACGTTTGAACTTCCTAGGTACTTTTTGTGAACGATTAAAATGAATTGCAGACGGTCTTTAGTCCACTTTTCAACCAACGTAATGACACTAATGCTTACACAAATTCATTCTGAAACCAATATTTTTCTGTCAACCAAAGTGATTTGAGAGAGAGAAAAGAGAGGATTAATAAGTTATTGATCGGCTTGAGGTAGTGACCGACGTCTTTGCTTAAAAATACTGCCCAGCCGGAAAAACGAGATATATTTATGACAAATGGCAACGAAAGTAGTATGGGGATGTCCTCGGCGACTCACGAAGGCGTTACCGTTGCCCGTGGGCAGAGATAGGAAAATGCTGACCGGGTAAAGAACCAATCAGATTGCAGGATTTGTTGCCGTGCCCTCTGAAAAAATAAATAAATAAAAAAACGCACGCGATTCTTACGATGAAGTGATCAGACGCTAAGTTGGGCTGCAGACCAGATTCAAACCGAGGTCGGTAGTGCGAAAAAGGGCGCGAATTTCGTTTTTACGTTGGTACCGACATTTAAATTCTCAAGGTCCCTTTCTCCAATTATGAGTAAAGATGAGTACCAGCAAGGAAAGGTCAGGAATATATGGCCTTAAAAAAGATTTATAGGGCTTCCTCCACGTCACCACTCTAAATTAGAATTTGAAATAGAAGATGAGTGGTGAGAATCACTTCGCGTATATATATATGTTTTGATCGAATCCGTTATATTTTCTCTTAATTATTTCATGATTTAATTGTAATTTCCTTCCATGTGTATAGTGGTCTTTAAAGGGCTAAGCCCACGGAAGGCGACACTGATTTTCATGAAAAATTATTTTTCTATCTATAGATTAAAATAGTTGACCAATTAATTTGCGCTTGTATTTCTCGAAATCGTGTGTTCTTTATCTGATTGAGTCCTGTCCAACAACTGTTATCAGCGGGTAACTTTCACCGTACATCACTGAAGCGCTCAGCGACAAACCGCTTGTCTTGTACCTATTTGAAGATTATCAGTCCAGTTCCTATGGCCGAAACCGATGAAAATCATCACCAAGCCCACCATGAACGTAGTACTACGACCTAATGAGAAAGATATACTGGAACTATTAGTCTGACAGCCAAACCCTTAATCTTTCAAGTTGGCTGCACCCAATGGGTGGCAAGCTGTTCTTGGCATCATTTTAAAGCTTAGAGTCTGCTGATCAAGATATCTGCTTGTTAACATGTACAAAAAGTGTCCAAAGGCCTCGGTAACCTGGCCTAGATAACCCATGATCCTTTGCGCCAGAATTTCGCCGAACTGTATTCTTTTTATTTCTTCGCCTCTCAATGGACATGACGTGTGCACAATCATTCTTTCCGCTGGATTTGTTAGTATCTTTATCGTTCCAGAGAGCATAACTAACGCGAGATCCATCAACCCACAACCATGTCTTTTGATATTAGGATGTCTATACAAAATGATCCACATCCACCCGTTTGTTGTGCGTAGAGAGGTAACGGCTTCTTCCTCAGCTGCTGAATTTATCGAGGCAAGTTTGGATCCAAGGGATTCGCGGGCGGATTTTGCTGCATTCCACTTAAGTCTGTTGGTAGTGAAGACATTTGTAGTCATTGTAAAAATAACAATAATAATGATGCTAACGATATTGATGATAATAATACTAATGATAATAGTATTAATAACAATGAGAATAATGATAATAAAAAGCACTATAGTAATAATAATATTAATAATGATAATTAAATAATTACAAAAAGAAAACAATGATACTAATAACTATTTACAGTGACGCGGTACACTGAGAATGAGACTAAGATGCTATCGTCATGGCTACATGACATCACAATCGATAAACAGAAGATTTTCATTCCTTTGAAACGCATGTGATAGTTTTGAACACGAGGAAGCAATCATGAGTTTTTTGAAGAAAATGCGTGGAAAAGGTCGAAGTAAAAACCATCAAGAATTACACTTGAGAGCTTCGGTTCCTTCTCCGAATGTGGAATGTGCCAAAGACAAATGGTAAGTGTAGAAAAAAGAGACGAAAAGTCATCGGGAAAGATCACCGATAAATATAGGCATGTTAGATTTAGGTGAAGTTTTTTTTTCCATCTGGGTTTTTGGTACGACGAAAGAATAAAGCAGCCGTTACAAAAGAAAACACGCCGGCAAAAGAAAAAAAAACGAACGGTTTGTTTTTAAGTCTGCGAAAAAAACTGAATGACTCCAAGCAATTTACCACTTAACTTGCGCTTTTTCGGTTTTATCGAAGCGCGCTAAATCTCAGTTTTAAGAGGCCAATGAAATTATTTTTCGAAATCGCAGGGAAATGACGGCGA